TGGTGCGATAGTAGCAGTCCTTCGTAGCGAAGGGGTTAACAGGTATTTTGAATATAACTTTCCCTCAAGCAGTTCTCCCATTTTACCAGATGATAAAATCACCAACATGTTAAACACTTTCTCAGTTTCAAGAACTTGACTCCCACACATATGTCAATCAATGTTTTCCAAATAACACACTTATCTACCTAGATTACCAAAACTTTAGAAAATAATTGCAAAAATACCTACTTTTTCAAGCTTAAAAGAACATTTCACAGTTACAAAAACTTAAACAGTTCAGAAAAAATATCCTGATGAAGTCATGATGACGTAGGCTGATATGTACATTTAACCCCAATTTTCCCTTGTAACATCGCATTCACATTGGGCTTGTAGTTCTTGAATAGTTGGCCTTCACATTTTCAGCTTTAAGGATCTGTTTGTTGACACTTGATGACGTCATGACATCACTGTTAAGTACTCACCTACATATACATGGTGCTTGGTTGAAATTCATTCAAGATCCAAGATATAACAGTGACAAAAGCCTGAAACAGAAAAAAGACTTCATTTCTTTTCTCTACATGTACATTTCCAATAATGCACCCCTACGGTGCACTTTACAAACAGCTGCACTTGGTTTGTATAAAATGTAGCAATGAATGTTTTTGCTCCTCATTATTACTTCATACTTCATGCTCATTATTACTTCATTACTTTAATGTTTTTGTAAAGTCACTCAGAGATGGGAATATCCCCCTCCCACCTTTTGACCAGCTGAATGGGCTTTTGGTTCATCTTTCTCTACTTTTTTGCAGAGAAAAAAGGCTAGGATTTTGGCGTATTTTTGAATTTCTTACCAACAAAAATGTTTTCAGTGGTACTGCCCTGTACTCACACAGCAAGGCTATTTTCAGATATGTTTGGTCAAGAATGATAACTCTTTATCCTTTTTATCTATTTATTAGTACATATGGCTCAGCCACTTCAATCCATGAATGTCCAGTTTACACAACAGCCGGAGGTAATAGATTGGCCAGCACATTACACAAGAGATTCACAGCAGCAGCAATCACAGGCTGATGCAACACCTGAAGCATGTAAGTGACCCACATGTAAATGTACCAGTGTTGGCAATTAACATAAGGAGTTTATAATGTAAATGTAATATGATTTATGAGAAAGTGATGAAACACATGTGTGTAGCTTTGAAGTTTTAACATGGAAGTAGCAAAAAGCACAGATGTGTTCTGGATAACTGGCATCGTCATCTCATAATTTTTACATCTTTGTTAAAGTTGTTCTGAAAATTTATCAGCAGAAATTGCTTTGAACACATCAGTGACAACAAGTACTTAATAATGGTTAATAGACTGTACTAGGGTCCACTGATGCATTGATGTTAGTTGATTATTTGATATCACTGTAAAATCAGTAGCGCCAATATCAAATTTGTAACCATGTCGAAATATTGAAAATCTTGATTTTGGGAATGATTTTTGAAATCTCAAAAGCAAGTCAGATCATTGACAAAATAAATCTCCAGTTTGAATTAGGACACAGTGCCCACTCTGAAAAACATCGTGAGATCTTAGCAGCTTTGTTTTAAACGAATTCTCTGAGGAGCTTTCATCCAACCAGTGATTGACAGCCGACTGACTGTCATGTGTTAAAAGGTGAATTTTCCGGATGTAATAAGGCCAGTTGACTTTTGTAGAGGCTGTGTCTTTTTATTTATTTAATGCCTTATGACTTTTCCAGAACAATACCATGGAATATTTTGTAATGGTAGACAGACTCTGAATGATATGCTTATCCTGTATCAATCTTCATATTTGATCTGGTAATTTTTTAATGTTGGACCAATATATGTTTTTCCATAAGGGGATACTGAGCTGCAACACACTTGCATTCTTTTAAAAGAGAGAGTAAGAGTACATGTACCTGTATGACCTGTCATGATTGTGAATTTACACGCACGGTAAGGTTTGAAAGTCATTGTGTATTACCATAGTTTTCAGAATATAAGCTTCCCGGTGTATGGGCTGCAGCATGCAAAAAACAGCAAATTAAGATTTAAAGTCGGTGTATAAGCTGCACCGGTGTATAGACCACACAGCAGTGCTGACGATCCAACCATGAAGGTGCTGCAGGTTGGAGTGAGGTGGATAAATGGAGAGATAAGAAAGGAAAAAATAGGCAAAAGGGAAACAGGGACTAAATAAAAGGATTATAAGCTGGCCTGGATAGACAAAAGTATAATCAAACACTGTGGGCCGAGGACCTGTCTATTCAAACTTAAAATGCCAACACAGAACATATATACGTATAAAACATTTGCATATTGTCAGTGCTCTGGGACCAACGTCACTCAGCCACCACACAACACCCCCACACATTCCAACACAAACCCATCCCACTTTTCTCAATACATCCAACTCGAGCCAGTCGCTGTCCTTGTGGAATGGCCCAGAGCACAAATAATATGCCTGAAATAGTGTATTTCTATATAATTGATATAAAATAATAAATAATCCTTTACAAGCTGGAAGTTGAAGTGTCATTAATCAGTTTAACAATACATTTCTGAACATTCCAAGTATGAAATAAATACAAACTACAGGTCATAAAAGTGGGTAATCAGGTTTTGAGTGAAACATGTTAAAGAGTCAACTGTCGCAGAGTCCTTAATGTGAGATGGGAGTGCAGTGTGTTAAAGAAAAGAAAAGAAGTTATAGTCTCATCTGCAATAGATGTTTCATGCTTTAAAGCACATTCCACCAGGAGTGCAGCTACCTCGGCTGCAGCTCTATCAGGAATTTCCATTGTGGAAATTTTCAAAGCAGCTGATTGGTCATCTGCTGGTACATTTAGAAAAATCTACCAGAGGGATGTAGTATCCTTAAGGTTTGGAACAGCAGGGCTAGTTTTGGTTGAGTTTTGAATTGTACAATGAGTCTTGATATTAACTGGGATGAAATATAATTTCCAATTTTGTAAATGCACTTACTTATAATTGGAATTAAATGAGGAAGGACTCATACTCCCTCCCAAAGGTCTCAGGAGTTTCCTCTTTTATACCTACCCATATGCAATCACTTCAGCCAGTTAAGGGTACTCCTGTCTACAACTACAAAGAGAAAAGCCTAAAGGAGCTAAGGTAGTCTTTGAAGTATTCAGAGAGCCAAATGTGCAGTCTTCAAAAGACCATCCCAAAATAATGCACTGTTTCAATTTTTGTTTTTATTGATTTTACATACAGTTATGTTTCTTTGCTAGAATGCTTTGATCTTTTCTCCCCAGTAGGTTCCGAAAATGTTGCAGAGCAAATGGAAGGGATGGAAATCTGTCAATCGCATGGAGAGCAGGAAAAGCCACATACACCACAAGAGCAACAGACATGTTAGTGTCTTCAGTGCTTCAATTGATTTTTTTTGTGAATATGTCTTTGAGGGTGGATGCTTGAGAGGGCAATAGGGGCTATGGTCCCCCCCCAAAAAAAAATATTTAACATCTTTTTAAGAACTAAAGGCAAGTCTTTGTCTATTTCATTCCATTTCCTTTCCACAAGTGTGTAAAAAGTGCCAAAATGTTGCCTTAACCTTCAAAATACCACAAAGTTCATGTGCAAAATTTAAATTGTTTTTTACCTCTCCAAACAAGTCCCCCCCTGGGAAAATTTTGGATATGGATCCACCCTTGCTTGACTTTGTGGACCTATGTACCATAATTTTATGGAATATAAGTCGCCCAGTATATAAAGAATAAACATACAAGCCGCAGCTTGCAGTCCGAAAATTACGGTACAAAACATTCAATGTTTGAAAGATGTATATGTGTATGTGTTGTGAGTATATTAATTGTTGAAATATACATGTATATCATGCAATAAACATCAAGTGAAAAAAAATGCTACATGAAGTACAGTATTGTTACAAAGTCCAGTTCTAAATGAAATGAGATTTATATGTAATATCACCAACAACGGTTTCTTCTGTCATCTTTCAGATGGAGGGATTACTATGAGCAAGAAAGAACATGTAATTGGACAGGAATCGTTACCTGAATACAGGATGACCCGCAACCCGAGGGGACTGTGTATGATTATCAACAATATCAACTTTGTTGGAAACAGATTTAGAGTCCGTACAGGCAGTGGAAAAGACACAGGTATGAGATTCTGTCAATCAGTTTGAGTAGAAATGTACTAATTAACAAATACAGTCAACTCTCTGTAATACGAGCTCAGATAGGACAAGATTCCAATTTGTGAGAGCATATTTCAGTAGTGTGTACATTCCTGTGAGGACAAAAATCTTTAATATGAGGTTGGGTGAAACAAGTTTCTGTTAAGATGGCACCTTTTGTGGTATAGTTGAGTGCAAATGTTATCTTTCTATCCAACCCTTTATGCGCTATTGCCGACTCCAGTCACCCGGCCCTTTTTTCCCACACTGCTATCGGCGACCACAGTGCCCCCGCAAGAACAGTGCTGTATAAATGAATGAATGAAGCAAACCTTTGACCCCTGAACCCGCATCCGGGTATTTTCTGAAAAGTGAATACGTGGCAAACATTTCTCAACAGTAAAATCACATTCGTTTCTGAGAAAATTTTCTGCAATTTTCGATCGAAATTCTGTGTGTCCCAATGTTCGAGTGCTCGCTAAAACAAAAGGCATGTACAATGGAAGCTTCAGCCACATTTCGGAAGATTTTTGGAGACTCAGACTATGGAGATTCCGACTTTGAAGGCTTTTTGCAGACGATTCTTGTGATAGTGACGATTATGTCACCCAGGGCTCCGTTGACTATAGTGTGAATGATGCATTTGATGGGCCGCAACAACACCACGATGGCTCCGGTGAAGTTCGCCAACAACCTAGAGGTAATTACAGTAATGCGGCTCAGATCGCAGCACGTAATGATGCATTTCAGAGGGCGTACCATTATGACTGGCTGATCAATTTCAGCCATCCACACGGCCAGCTGATTTTCGATGACAAAGAGCCAACAGAATATGGGATTTTCTCCCATTATTTCGATGCAGAGGTAATTGACTTCTTGTAGAAATGAACAGATATGCGGTGACCATCATTGCAAGTAAAGGCGGTATAGAAAGCTTGGGAGATTATTCGAGATTACGCAAGTGGCGAGTTGTCAGTGACACCGAAATGAGAGCATTTCTGGCTATATTACTGTTGTTCAAAATTGATCGTCGCCCCAACTGTGAGTCATACTGGACCACAGAATGGACAATGGAGGCCCCCAGAATAAGGTCCATAATGTCCAGGGATTGCTTCCAACTAATCTTGACCGTTTTCCATTGCACCGACAATGTGTTGGTGACTCAACCTGGTGACGCCAACCGTTATCAATGAGGCAAAATAAAAGAACTAATGGACATGCTTTTGACTCGATGGATGTTGAGTTATTATGCAGACCGAGAAGTGTCGGTTGATGAAACAATCATATCGTTCAAGGGCTGCACTGGAATGAAAGTGTACAAACCCAACAAACCCCACTGAATTGCTGGAATTTGGCTGAGGCGAAGACCTGATACATCTGGAATGCTGAACTTTACCAGGGAAAGAAAACTGAGGATGTTGAGGTTGGCTTGTATCACAATGTCGTAGCGACACTTTGTGAGCCAGTGTACGGGAGGGGACACCACATGTACGTGGACAGTTTGTTTTCTTCTCCTGCCCTGTTCAAAGAAGTTGAAACAAACAATGTTGGTGCATGTGGCATGCTCCGCATCAACCGCGCAGGAACACCAGAAGTAATCAAGAAATCTAAACTGAAGAAGGATTACCCACTCCTGGCTGTTCATAATGGAAACTTACTGTTCCTTGCATGGCATGACAAGAGGCAAGTCAATTTGATGATGTCTGTCCACAACGCCAACACATTCAGGAAGCAGGTGCGAGACCCACGAGAAGTTGACAAACCAGTGGCCATAGAATGTTACACCAAGTATGTGGGCGGAGTGGACAGAGCTGATCAGGGCATGTGGTATCATTTGAACATTCACAAGACCCTAAAATGGTGGTTGAGGTCAGCTATATCAACAGCTGGATTGTGTGGAAATCTCTCCATCCAGGCACTCGGCATTCTCCAGAGAAGTTGCAGATTAGTGTTTCTAAGTAAATGTCAAAAAAAATCAGGAGTGATTGAGCAGACATTTTGAAGAAAATTTTATTAGTTTCATTTTAATGGCTTCATATTTCATACGCTTTTTAATTTTAATAAAAAATATACCCACCAATGGATAGGTAATTTCATACTGAACAAAAAGTTTGCATTCTCCCATAGAATGTATCCTTCACCAAGAAAAACATCCATGAAACATCATTGAGCAATTGCTTGGGTACTTAAAAAGAAACCCAGCGCCACTGGAATATGAGTGGATAAGGATGGTAGCGTGTTAAGGGTTAACACAAGCAACGTGTCAATAAACCAACCCATTTAGTAAAGGTGCTGTTGCAAGTGATTATCTTTATAACAAAGAAGAAATTGACATGCACAGCAACTTGGTTACTGCATCAAAAGTCACACACAAAAGCACTCTACACCAAGCAAAAATGACCCATGAATGGACAACATTTTAAACAACCAATGACAAAGGGAACACCTGTTTCATCAAAATGATGTGCATGAGTGGTTTCTGTATTGGGATGCCATCCTTAGTGACAATGCATAAACATTATTGAAAAGTAATGATTGTGACTTCTTTATTTCATCCTGTGACATTGATTTCTGCATAAAACTTAAGGATCATTCTGTTACATTCTGTGACTTTGATGCAGTAACCAAGTTGCTCTGCATGTCAATTTCTTCTTTGTTATAAAGATAATCACTTGTTTTGGGGCGTGTGATTAGTAAGGGGTATTACCTGTGTACAAAAATTGTTTATTTCTTGAGTAAATTTTTATGTGTGGCCTTTGACAGAAGTGGCAAATTTCTTTTGCTGTCTAGTGTAATTTTCTATATGTAGGTACATGGGATATTCGTATTCATGTAGAGTAAACTCCATCTACTGAAGTATACAAAATATAGTGCAATTTTTTATGAGGCATCCTGTCGCGACGCACTTCTTTTCACATTGCAGTAGTCTTAGTTTCAAGATGTTCTTCCTGGTGTTTGGTGGGTGACAGTAGTTTGTGTCTATTGTGGTTGTGATAGGATCCTCTTGCAGTGACAGTTAATCAAGCACATCTACAACAGCGTTTTTAAGTGGCTGTGAAAGCTTATCCACACATCAGTCCTAATCAGTTTGGCACTTTATGCCGGGGCATTTTTCAATGTTGATGATGCTGGGCCGACATGACTATCATTTTTTCAGTTTTCAAAATCCTTCAAAAATTCATCATTTCATTTAACGGTCGTTTATAGCCGCACCAAGTAATGTTTAGGCACTACTCTAAGTTGACAGGTGGCCTTCATTGATGCCCGAGTATTTCAGCCAGGCCAGCAGCCTTGTAAACATAGCCCAGATTGTGCGGTGTTGTATAACTGTCTTTTGTTCATGAACCTGGCTTAGTGCACTGCTGACCTTTTTTCAATAGCAGCCAGATTAGCGTGCAGCAGTGCTGTGTGGCTCATCGCTGAGGTGGTGGAGCGCTTTTGTCCCGGTGGTAATCCACTCACTCTCAATGCCCCAAACTCTGGTATACAGTTTCAAAACAAGGCTGGATTATCACCACTTTTGAGAGTGAAAAATGTCGGTAATGCCCAGCAGCCTGGTCTTTTGTTCGGAGTATGGTCTTTTGTTACAGGGCCCTGTTTCCTTTGTCCGAGTTTGGAGACCCCGGCCATGCATATAAACCATATGTCTCTGATCCCGGAGTCCCGGCAGGAAGTGGTTAAAGTGATAAGAATTATGCATATCCTACCATTCTTACTACAGTTTGTTGCTGCTTCTGGTCAAACAGAATTATCCAAACCTTCCTGTGTGGCTCGAGTCGCAGATCACGGAATAACTTTGGACTGTGGCTTGAAATCATACATAGCACAACTTGTCTTGTACTTGGACAGAAAGACTTGTGACTTGTTTGTGCTTGGACCAAATGACTTGTGACGTGACCTAGACTTGCACAAATGGACTTGTGACTTGACTTGGACTTGCAAAAGTTGACTTGTTACCACCTCTGGCTTTCGATTAGATCAGTCACGATGTATTAAAAAAAACCTTGTCAATTTTGACATTTAAACAAACCTGACTGAAAGAAGTTTCTTACAGAGACATTAATTCTGTTGACTTTACTACATGTACATGTATGTTCCAAAAGGGTATGTTATCATCCGATTTATATTGTGGCAATTTATCTTTGTGTGGTTCTGGTGAGCTTGATTGTTTTGCCACTTCGACATGGGGTGTTTTGAGTTCTGTTCATAGTCATGCACCTATTACAAAAAATATCCCTGCACTTGTCCGTATGTTACATAGTCAAACAGTGAGATCAGATCGGCTAAAGGAAATCCAAACATGAATGGAGAATTACTAGGTTTTATCTTGATTATGAGCTTAGTAGTAAGAATTGTCATGATCTGTGGGGAGCTTACCACCGCCAAGGTCAAGTCTTACAAGCGCCACTCCATGTAATACTCCAGGCACATCAACAAACTGACCTTTATGAAACAACGCGGAGATTCCAACATCATCCCTCCAGGCCTTCGACTCCATGATCCCATTTGGAGCCACAAGTCCTGTTCCATTCTACACAAAGCCAGCCTCACCCTCTTCCGCCACTGCATCAGTACCATTAGATTCACCCTTGCATCATTGGACAAGCAGATTTCCACGACCTAGAAGTAGCCTCGTTCTCCAATATCCATGCCTTCAAGGAATCACACCACTGCAAAGTCAACTCCAAGAGCAAGACCTGTACCTGTTCGAACCTTACGTTGATACTGGCAATGGAATCATCTATATCCCCACACCCACACAGCGCTTCCTTCAATCACCCAGGATCAAGACTTCATCAACCGGGCCCTTGTCCATAGGGCTTACAACATCTGTGACAAGGAACACCTCACCCACGTTCTACATCCATCACCTGCATCTGAACGGATTCAAGTCAAGCCAGATTAAGACGCAAGACCTAAGTTCCATCCCTGACTGAAGGGTCACCTATACCCAAGCCTGAGGGCCTCAAGCATGGAATTTGA